TTGTCCTGCTACAAGGCTGATGCACAACAAATATCTGTTGAATAAATAAATAATCCCTATCAAAGCACTGTTAGTAAATAACTATGATGATATTTTCCTATATGTGTTCAGCTTATAGATAACTGGTTGGATATTTAAAATTATTTTTTAGAAATTGTAGGGAGACTGCAAAGTGTGAACACTATTATTGAAAAGAAGAGAGCTCCATTAAGTGAACTGAAGTCTCTGGGGAGTGGAGAAAAGGTAAATACCCCCACAGAGGTGAGCTAAAAAGCATGTATGGCCAGTGACAGGAAGATACCATTTTAGGTGTGTGACCTATTGTTTAGGAGAAGAGCTCTGCACTTTCAGTGGTGGCAAGACTCTATCTTGGGAACAGTGGTGTTTAGAACTTTAAACACTGGACACTGCAGCCACATTACTGAGCGTGAATTCCTGTACTGAGTCTCTCCCCAAGCCCCAATCATTTCTGGAGAACCCTAAATAAAGACCTGGACCTTATCAGCCTAACAGACATCTGTAGGACACAGCACACCAAAAAAATCTGAGTACACATTTTTCTCAAGTGCACATGGATCACTTTTCAGAATTGGAAAATGGGCCAGAAGACAAACATCAACAGATATACTAAGATCAAAATCATTCCAACTCTTTTCTCTGACTATAAAGCCATCAAACTTGAAATAAATCATGAAAAGAAATCAAGGAAGCCAACACTTCATGAGACAGAAATCCACTCTTATGGAAGACCACTAGACTAATGAGGAGATTAAAGAAGAAATTAAAAAATACTTGGAGTTTAACGATAACGAGGACACCAAATTCCAGAATGTATGGGGAAAAGCCTTATTACTATAAGAGGAAAATATATAGCAATACAGCCCCACATCAAGAAATAAGAAAGCAAAGAACCAACCTAATCCACACCAAACAGAATTACAATAAAGAACAACAACAACAACAACAACAAAACCCTAAAGTCAGTAGAAGAAAGGAAATAATAAAAACAAAGGACAAATAAATTAATTAGAAATTGAAGAAAAATCCAAAAGATAAATTAAACCAAAAGTTGGTTCTTCAAAAAAATAAATAAAACAAACTTCTAGCTAGGCTCACAAAGAGAAAACACAGATTAATAGAATCACAAACTAAAGAGGTAAAATCACAATAGATTCAAAATAATCAGACTACTATGAACACCTATATGCAAACAAATTCAACAATCTAGAAGAGATGGACAAATTCTTAGACCAATCTCCTAGATCAATCTAAAGCCATACAAAACACCTGCTTTTTTAAAAATCATGTAGCATGTTTTTGTAACATGGGAGAGTAAATGTTTTTTGGAAAATGTTGAGATTATGGACTTAGAACTGTTTCTGACAAAAGTTCAGGTGCTGCTGAACTTTTGACTCGCCAGAAAACTCAGAGACTCGCAAATTTTAAATTCCATTTTTGCACAAAGTATCCTATAATTCCATGTTCTAAGTACAGAATAGGCAATTTTGGGGAACTCAAAACACAAAAGATGAACAGAGTAGCATACTGATTATATTGCCACAGGAGACACATCTTACTCGTGGCATACTGGTATATTCTGAGGACTACAGTGTCTCTGACTCTTCTAGATCTCCCTTTTCACCTCTAAGACTATCACTTTCAGGACCAATCTAGTCAATGAAACCAGGATTATCTGGGTGGCAGCAAGCATATTTTTGACTGAGATTCAGGTAACCTCCCTCTCACACCTAATGCAGCTTCTCTCAACAATGGATCTATGATGGGATAAAAGACTAGACTTAACTAGAAGCAGAATGAAAAAATGGCCTTACTGGACTTGGATTAATAAAATTAATGGTGACACCAAAAAGACAATGAACTGCATTAACATTTGACATATTTCTAAAAAGAAGAAAACTTAGGCAAGTATGTAAATCAATTTAAATTACATATTTGTCTTACTTGTGCCACTCTTAATTATTTTATATGTTTCAATGTGACTCTAGAAAAAAGTCTCATGTAGACTAGATGAGATTTCATGAACTCCAAGTTCTAAACACATCTTTAATTAAATTTCTTTTTATACCTTGGAATATTTATATAAAACCTTTATTAAGCTATAATTCATACCCCACATGATTCACCCATTGAAAATACTCTATTCAATGGTTTTCTGTATAGTTAAACAAGCATCACCAGTAATCTTTAGACCATTTTTATCATGTCAAAAATATACAATGAATCCTATAGCAATCACTCCCCATTTCTTCCTAACTCTACCCTCCGTTTCTGCCCTATGCAACCACTAATCTATTTTTCATCTTTATAGATTTGCCTATTGTGGATATGTTATATAAAAGGAAATATTCAATACATGGTCTTCTTTTTTTTTTTCTTTCTCTCTTTTATATTTAAAGAGTAAGTTTATTAGAAAGAGGCAGGAGAGGAAAAGACACTTGCATAAGTGTAAGTGGGCAGGAAGCGCTATCCCAAAGGGACAGGTTTGCAGAGAGACCTGCATGGTTGCAGGCAGGCCGTTTTAGGAGAGCGGCCTCCACTGAGGGAGGTCAGTGCAGAGAAGTCCAGGCATGGTCACGGGCAGGCAGGAGGCTGCTGCCCTGTAGAGGGAGAGAGCGGGTGGAAAGAGGTACCTGCATAGAAACAGGTGGGCAGAGGAGCGGCCGCCAGTCTTCTTTTTCTTAGCATAATCTTTTCAGTGTTCATCCATGTTGTAGAGTCTATCAGTTCTTCATTCCTTTTAATTACTGAAAATGATTTCATTGCTCCATTCATTGCCACATTTTAAAAATCCATCATCAGTTAATGAACATTTGCATGGTTTTACTTTTGGGCTATTACAAGTATTGATGGCTGTGAACATTAGTATACAAGTTCTTACATGGATGTAAGTTTTTAATTCTTTTGCTTATATATCTAAGACTGGAATTGCTGAGTTATAATTTTGTTTAACTGTCATGCAATCTTCCATAGCAACTCACAATTTTTTTTTATATTCCCACCAGCAACATATGATAGTCCCAATATCTCTACCTCCTCTCCAACAGCTGTAATTATCAGCCTTTTTGATTATAGTCATTTTGGATGGTATGAGTTATCTTGTGGGTTTGATCCTAATGACTAATGAAAGCAAGTACATATCCATTTATTTACACCAGTATGTATCTTTGGAAGAATGTCTATTCAAATCCTTTGCCCATTTTTAAAATGGATTATTTGTTTTTTAGTTGCTGACTTCTTCATTTTGCCTCAAGAATGAGGGCTTGTTGGAGAAAGAATATCTCAGACCCCTTACCTGCTTTTGCCTAGAATAGAACTTCTGTAAAACAAAGTTGGGGACCATGAGATTCTTGTGGCCTGCTTTTTCTAAGAAAGCCCTAGACTGATAGGGATTTAGGTTGAAAGGAGTCTTGTGTGCTTGTAATCCCCTGGGGCAGTATACCATCATAGCCAGCTAGAGGGGGACAGGAAAGAGGAATTTGGTTTAAATGCTACCAACTTTTGCTGTTTCTGCTGAAATTGAGCAGTTTGTCTGGAGTAAATTTTTCTTCATTCTTGTATTCCCTCAGGTCATTATTCAGAGACTTTAAATGGTTTTTAGTCTAACATTTTTACTAGTTATTATTGTTTGGCTATGGAAAGTTCATGGAGCTCCTTTGTGGAGCAGTATCATCCTGGAAGTTGAGTCTCATTTGGATAACTTTCAATGATAATGTTTAGGTCATGTATGATGATATAATAGTTTTTGAATTATGAAGGACAGTTTTTACAAAAATACTTCCAAATTTACAATGTATTAAGAAAACCGATGAAAATTAAAGAGCTCACTTTCAACTTCACATTCAAATTCTAAATTCCTCATGTATTTGCTCTAAAAATAATTCTTACTTTATTGCTATTAAATAGCTGTGTAGAAATATTTGAATAAGGGTGGCAATACATTTTGCATGAGAAATTGTTCCAATAATTTATATATCAAGCCATTTTACCATTGAAATAGCCATTGAAATGATGCCTATTTTTGTTTTAATTTTTATTTATTTAAATTTCCTCCACCAAACCACACTTTCCTCTATCCCGTCAATCAAAAATGACCCTGTTTTTAAAATACGGAAATAATTCAGATGTTGAAAGCAAACTGTTACAACAACATTAGTTGTTTCATTATTCTAAAAAGTGCAACAGCAAAAGTAACCATTTTTTTAAATTTTTATTTATTTCAAAAGTGCTGTAGCACAAAGCATTTTAGAAAAACTACTTCCCCAACAATTTATATGTACATTTAGTGCTAATATTTGCATTTAACAATTCTTTTTTTTTTTTTTGGTCATGGGATGGGTTCATATTTTAATTGCCAACAAGTTGAATGCCACTTTAGCTGAGATTTAGAATCTCTGCTCATATCTAAAGTCCTTCTTTTTAGATTCCACCCCCTCTATCCCCAGCAAAATTAATATGCCTTTCTCTTTGGGTTTAAAACTTTAGAAAATTATAAATTATCGTTTTAGTATCTTTGAGAAAACACATATTGCTTTAATCGTGAGAAAATGTTAAAATATTTCCTTGTAAATTCTTCACTTTTTGGACAGATGACTTTTGTATTGTTTGAAGAAGCTGATGGCAAAAAGTATTGTATATGAGCATGAAATCTGATAAAGACGACTACTTAAGAATGAGACCAAACACTTTCTAATATTTACCTGGATCATTAATGAACTACACAAAAACAATGAAGATATTAACAAGTAATTTCCTCTTTGGACTGGAAAAATTTGAAGAACAGTTTGACTTCAGTTGAATGAAACATCTTGGTTTCTAACATAGTAAAAGTCAACTGGAAAAATCTATTCAATTCTTAACATTTTAATGTATCTAATAGACACTAATTGAATAAAAGCCCAGCATTAATTTTCCCCCTTTAAAAACAGGAATTCTTCCTACTAAAGCTAGTTTATCAAGCAGTTGTTTTGGACGATGCTTACCTCTGAGCCTTCGGATCTATGTCGCTGCGGCTTAGGTGAGCACGGTAGTGGCTTTGGCTCCTCCCCAACTGCTGGAGCTTCCTTCTGCGCTGGGCACCCAGAGCCTCCGAGAGTTAGGTGCTTGGCCCCGCCCTCTGCACGATTGCTAAAACTCCAATTCTGCCGGACTGATTCCGGTGATTAATTATTGACAAAAGAAAAACACTCCCACGCAAACTTGTGTCCTACCGCACTGCTCCAGCAACTCCTTCCAGAAGAGAATGCCCGCTGCACCACTCTTCTCCCTCCCCCAACATCCACCCCTTTGCTCTACTGTCTCAACTTCCCACACACTGCCACTCTCAGTCCCGGGTGATCAGACTAGTCCTCTGAGGAACGCAGCCCCACGACTTCTACATTTTAAAATTTGGTTTTCTGCAGCTCATTAGCATTTCTCCGGAGACCAACCTCTCAGGATGGGGGTTCTTTCCGGAGGCAGGGGAAACCGGGGTTCCGAGGGCAACTGGGGAGGTAAAGACGTTGCAGTCACCGGCTGCTGCAGTAAAACCGAGAGCAGATGCTGAGATAGGGAGGAGGGGATAAAGAGGAGCCCTCCCCCTCTTTGGGGCTGGGCGCCCCACATGTCCTTTGTAGGGCAGGTATATAAACAGTAGGTGCCAGGTGGGGGTTTTAGGGCTAAAACCCATTCACCAGCTCAAAAATAAGCTGAAACCAACACCCACCCTTCCGAAGACTTCCTCGAGAGGTCGAGACCCCGCGAACAATGAGCAGGACCTAGGTCGGCAACTCAGCAGCAGTCTGCTGCGAAGTGAACCCAAGGCTCCCCGGCCTGGGTAGCAGTGGGCCTAGCAGGCTTCCCTCTGCGTTTGTTTAAAAAACAAACAACAACAACAAAAAAAAAAACTAAGAAAGCAAACCCTTTCTGCCTTAGCGGCAAATGTCGGTGCCTTTTAACGTGCAAAACGTTTCTCCCGCCCTACTCACTCCTTTTATCCACCTTCCTCCGGGTGACTGAGAGCTTAATCACTGAAAAAGGTGAACTCCCCAGAGGAAATAGATAGAAGGGTCGTGTTCAAGGAACGTGTGTGCGCTCACTCACAAAAAGAGAATGAATCTGGCCAGGGACTGCGGACTGCGGCAGGAAGGCAAACTGGGAAGCAAGGGCAGGGAAGCTGTCTGTGATGCAGAAGCTGGGCGCTACTCCCGCCGCTCAGCTGGCCCAGCATTGGTTCTAGGCGCTCAATTTTCTTCCCAAGAAGACACAGGATCGCTAAAACACATGGAAGTCTGAATCCAAGACAGTATCTCTTCCCTTCTCTACGGAGATCAGAGCACTTAGATTTAATGAGGCAGCTGCTTGCTAACAGCTCAGAGGCCACAGAGGCTCCCAGACTTATCTCTCTAGTCTCCATCTGCCCAAAATCTGGGAACTGGCTAAAGCATCTTTTGATTAGTAAACATTTTGACAACGTTGCTAATCAGCCCCCACTGCTGTAGGAGAGGCGTTGCACAGGTTTCACCAGGGCTGATAGTGCTACAGTGAAAATTTCAGCTGCTGACAGGTTTATTTATTTATTTAACAAGCTTCCAGCAGCTTCCAAACTGCCAGTACTATGAAGAGGGAGACTCAAGTTATTGGGTGGAGTTTCTCCACACCAGAGGGAGGATGTTGCAATATTAGAGAATGTTGTAATGTTTGGCCAACCCTATTAGAGATATGAGGAAATAAAACCCTGGGAAGTGACTTGTGCATGCTCACCAAGCCCATTCTGGTACCTATATAATTACACTTGTTTTTTTATCTCATTATTCATTATCTAGTTTTCTAGCCGGATGGTGACACCCACCCCACCTCACTATACCATTGTACATTTATTGAAGTATAAAAACAAATCTTCCTAACAAAGATTTGTGACATGGCTTGCAGTTACTGCAATCACTATTTGGGGGAGAAATTGGTTCAACTGACAAAAGTATCCAGATCATTAAAAACAATCTTAAATGACAAACGGGCAACATAAAAACACAAAGATACACATTTATGCATTTTCATATGGAGAAAAGATTCTCACCATACAAACATAAAGCTATGTTAGAGCTGAACCAGCTCACAAAATAAAAATCAGTTAAAGGACAGAGTCCATATAGATCACACAACCTCTCAAAATATAATACAAACAAAATTAACAACAATCCACAGTTGGAAACTCAAAGTTTTCTGTAGCCCTCCTACCATGGTGGCATAGTAAAGAGTATCATTTAGGGATGAATAGCACTGGGTTCAAACTCCAGCTTTTCTACTAATAAACTCTAGAGTTTGAGACAAATCATCCAGTATCTATATCTTAGCTTTTCTCATCTATGAAATGAGATTAATATTGACTTCATAGATTTCTTTCTAAGATTAAGTGAAATAACATGTACAGAGTGCTTATATAGAATTCTTTCTCCTCCTTTTTTCCCTTTCTTCCTTCTCCCCCTCCATTCTGCCTTCTCAAAATACCATTTGAATTCCATACATTTAAATTTATCCTGTGTTGTCAGTGGCATTCGACCTTTCTCTTGGTCCTTTCAGTACCTTAACACCTCCTCCACAATTCTTTAACAATCAGAGAAATCCAAGTATCTTGACTCAGCACCTTTGGAATGCCTTAGAGAGACCCCCCTCTCTCCCAATCTAGTCTAAAAGTAACTCAGTCTTTCATATTATAATGCAGTAGATGGCAAAAATATCATTGTCATTACACTATTCTTCATCCCCCCCTCTACTTTTTTCAGTTAATACAGTTTTTGAGTTTGTATGTGGCAATGCTCCAGCACTGACTCACTTATTTCAATTGAACAGAGATTTGTGCATGTTCAGGATGAAATCTTAGACTTCAAACAAACCTAACTATAAAATACTCTATAATTTAATATTAGAATAAAGATCATATTATTAATAGCAAGAATCAACAATTCTAAATATTGGAAAGCAGTATTTTATTGTGGGGCTAATGTGGCTATTTCATTTATCAGTAACAAATTTCTGAGATGTCTAACAGGTACAGTTTTCCATTAATAGACTAACTCTTCTTAACAATAAGAAACACTGAAAAAAACAAAACAAAACAAAACAAAACAAGATACAAAACTCCTGAGTGGCAGTAAGACCAGTGTAGCAAAAGATTTTTTCCAGCATCTATTCTAAAGCAACCTCAAACACTATGTTAACAAATAATGCCTTATGTGGATTTGTGGGAGAAAAAAAAGACAATGGAAAGTCAACTGAAACAAGAGGAA